TGCATGCGCCATGCTACGTCATTGCTCTATCACGTACGCACAGTCGCTTCGCGCAATATAAGGTTTGCTAGCTGTGGGACGAGGGGGAAACTTACTTTGTGGACGCGCCTCGTATTTAAAATCTGTGTTAAAATTATAAGGTATATGGAAGTGTCCACTGGCATAGCAAGGAAGTTATGGGAAGGAAACTGCATGTAGGTACAAACAGCTCACAGTTCAACTCACCAGCCAGAGTATGCCAGCAGCCCACACTGATTACACACATCTACATCAAATGCATCGCTGGAAATCATCAGCCTCTCCACAAGCATCATGCTGCAATAACATTTACACATATTACTACCACAAGTTTATGCAGCGTCTGATTTTTAAGGACATGTTCCTGCACAATCTTACCACATGAACGATTTATCTAAATAAAAATTATAATAATCTTAGAATTCACGATCCACATCTTTGTATCACTTATATTAGTACGGTATGGCGTGATACGCATCCATTTATTGCATATCGGAACACTTTTGCTGCTGTATTACATTCAAAGTTTACATGGCAGTGACAGTTCAAATTGTGGTTGCCTGGGTTCTGATACTGTGTAGTCTTGTCGGCCGTTACCATTAATACAGACAAGACTACGCAGTGTCACATCACTGCTGTCTCAAAGTAAAATTACGAACCTTTGATTAGTGCCATCCATACTTTTCTCTGATCTTAAAACTGTATCCAATCTTTTTGATCCACTTTGTGTAATTTCTAGTCTTGACAAAAATGGCTGTATGAAAATAGGGATACAGACCTCAACTCACACCCCTGCCATCTTCAGACTCACCACCGTGAAAACCTCAAATCCTACTCTCACATGTTCTGCCCTTCGATTCGTAACGATCCTCAACAAGTTACAAACGCAATGATTGTATGATAAAAATTACGTAATGTCTTACCTGGCTCCATAGCCGATTAAACAGTCGCGTTCCATCTCGCCAAGACGTAAACCTCCTTCCCTGCTGCGACCCTCCGTTGGCTGTCTTGTTAGAACAGCTCTAGGTCCGCGGGGACGAGCGTGCATTTTGTCCTGGACCATGTGCTTTAATTTCTGATAGTAAACCTGAAGATGAATTAGAACTAATAAACTACAAAATGTTCCATTTAAAACACAACCCTAACTACCACACATTAACACCTTCATGCACTAAAATGAAGAAACCAATGGCAATATTGAATTTTTTCAGCCATGTTTCACTGTTGCAGCTGCTGTGCTGCTTGGAATAGGTACAGCCATAATTTCAGCTGTTTTGTCGCTCGACGAGCGCTCGTCTTGGACACTTCCTGCGTTCCAAAATTTTGTTACCTGTCGGTGTAGTGTAATCTTATTCAGTATTTCCTTCTCAGGATACAAATTGCTAAATGCTTCGTGATCAGCAACAGACAATTTAGATGCAAAGTAATGTTTGAGACTGAACACATGTTCTGTTCAAGAATACGTCCACGTTCACACCTGCACAGCTTCTATGCAACTGGCTTCAGAAGCCTACCATAAAGAACTTTGTGTCAGTCATCTGTGTACATGCCTTCTCCCAGGAATTAAAATCGGAAATTCCCCAACATTTATTCGGATTATCCGTCAGCATAGCGAAATCTGATACATTCAATTTACGAAGTCCATGAAATGTTCCCACACAGGCATGGTAACGTATAATGAACTTACTGGTCCAGAGTAGATGTAGGCCTGTAAAGGCTCTCCAGTAATTCCCGAGTAAAAGAAGTCTTTCCCTTGATAATTGAAGCCATGACGAACCAATTCTTCACACACGTCAGCCACTTTGGATCCACCAAAAGCTATAAAATATAAGAAACCCCCTTACTTAAAACTTTTCTTCATAAATGAGTAATGCATAAAGCTATTGAAGGAAGTATATAAGCATAGGATTGCCGCAATAAATAAGTACTGTTGAATGCATATCATCAAAAAAAAATGAAGTCCTATCCACTTAGTTTATGTTCAAAATCATTGCTTACCAGTGCCATAGTGGAACTTGCCCTCCACCAAACCAGCCTTTCCAGCTAACAACTCTATCAGTTTCCCCACTGTCATACGGGATGGAAAGCCATGAGGGTTCATTATCATGTCAGGGCAAATTCCAAGATCATTGAAAGGCATGTCCTCCTGCTCAACTATGAGACCTGAAAAATAACATTAAATACTCATAAGATATGTCTACAGTCCGCGTGAACACGCACAAATGCACTACAAAATTTGCAAAAAGAAAATTGGGATGCATATTCTATGGCCTGAAAAATGGCAAAGAAAATATCCACATGAACATTGGTCTATAAATGTTCTGCTTCCAGTTACAGCTCTGCAAGAAACAAGACCGTGATTTCCGATTCTTCAACGTTAAATGTAACTGAGATTTAATGACACTTATTAGAACAGTAGAGAAAATGGTTTATTAACATTCTAGTGAAACATCACAGCACTACATATTTATGCTTTTCTCAGTGATGCAAAATCTGACCCCGTGCTGGACTTAACTCGCCATCTAGCAGCATGCTACTGACGCGTGGTCAGACACGCTACGCAAAAGCCATAATGCACAGCTGAAATTGATTAAACTGGAAGCTGAAGGTGGTTTGCCAGGACCGCAGAAGTAGTAGAATGATGTGGTGGTTGATGAAGAATTTAATTTTAGGCGAGGGTAAAACCTACCTGTGACTCCTTTCTGTCCGTGTCGACTACTAAACTTGTCACCAATCTCTGGCCGACGAGTCTGTCTCAGCAGAAGCTTGATGAGGAAGGATTCCTCTACATTGGAAGATAACATCACTTTCTCTATGTACGAAGGTACAGGGCCCTTGTACACTTGTGGTACATCCCTATACTCAGGCTGGGCTTGAAGAGGATTGATTGGGTTCAGTGTAACAGCTGGCATCGACTTGTTTACAAGCACCTACAGCAAATCAATTTCATTATTAATTACTGGGAGAGACGTCTGCTCTTATCATATGTACCAAAAACAGCCGTCTTCATACGTGTCACGATGAAAACCTGAAATCTCATCTAGTTACCAGTTTCCCATAAGACAAGAATGGTGGTGGGGGGGTTTGATTATGATTCTGACTCATGACAAATTATTGCACTGTTACATAATATATTCCTCTACATAATGATAGTTCTTTTATATTATTTTCCTTCTTTAAGGAAAAGTAGAACTAACCAATTAACATTCAACTTATTCAACTTGTTTTTTTATAGAACAGTAATAAAAAAGTACTCTCATATATAACTGACACTTCTAATTTCCCCCCCCCCCCCACTTTCATAGAAAAGCTTGTCTTATAAACAGAAAACATGTCAGACGACAGCAAAATAGTAATTTATTACAAGAGTTAATGCTACTATTTCCTGAATAGTATTTTCTAAATCATGAAACAGAGACAGAGAGAAAAATTGGTGCCAGTACATGATCATACTTCAACCACAAATCAAAATTTTCTGACCAAAACAATGCAAATTAATCGTGTGTGTATACCTGTCGATTTTCCACTTTCTCGCCCGGAGCTGCTATGCCATCTGCATCGAGAATATCATGCTTCCATACTGGTTTCTTTGTGTCAGCATCAATAAGAGGTCCAAGTATGCGGTCATAGGTCTGATTGGCATATCTTTTCAGCGTGGTCTTAGCATTACGGTACACCAAACACCGCCCATAGCCTGCAAATAAAATAACATCTTTGATAATAATCTCTCAACAACATGGCCTTCTCTTCTGTCACGCCAATTTGAGTTCCCTTGATTTGATAATCTTAATTTCAGTTTGAAAAGAGTACAAAGTATAAAGCTACTAATACACAGCTTTTTCAGCCACCCTTTACTTTCTCTGTCTTAGATCAAAATATTCCCCTCAGACACCCTCAATCTGTGTTCTTCTCTGGTGGTAAAAGAACAATACAAACACCCATACAAAGCAACAGGTAAAATTAATGTATAATAAGCATTACCCAAATGTCAAAATAATCTAAAATTATGGTCAACCGATGAATTCTTTCTTACATATTTTTCTTATAAATGCATAAAGACCTCAAAATATATGTTGGAAAAACTTGCAGAGATGAGGTTTTGGTGGGGGTTTTATAACCAAAACTTGCAACAAAAATCTGTAAATATACTGAAGACAGCCATCTTGACTCACTGCTGTTAAAACATCAAATCCCACTGAAAATATATTAATTTTATGAAGATGATGTTTCAAGAAGCATTTTCATCTGAGGGAAATAAAAGACAAATTACTACACGTTGTGAAAAAATATCAATGTCAAAGGCTTAAAATTTGACACGTGACTACTGTGTATTATGAATACATTTTACAACGTGATAGCTTCAGTTCAGCTTCTTTTACCGCCTTTCCAATAATCTGCATTACCAAATGTGCCCACCTCTGTCAATTGATGCTTTGTTCAAGATGAGCGCATCTTCAATGTCATAGCCACTGTAACTCATAACGGCCACTGTTGCATTTTGGCCAGCTGGCAACTTGTCAAAATTAATCAGCTCTATGGTGTGAGACTTGACCATCGGTGCCTGAGGATATACCACGTTGTACATTAATGTGTCTATACGATTTCTCTGGTTGTACCCAATTGTTCCTGGGGAAAAAGCATGCACACGACAGGTTAATAAAACTGACGTGTTCTTATCAAACAATATAACAGAGCATGAGTACAGAATATTAACTTCATGTTGCAGTACAAATAGAAAACAAATAATAAAGACACACTATTTAACTAGTATTAAAAGCACTATTCATAAAAGGCAGTGCTCCAAAGGGCCAAGTCTTGGAGCACTAAGAAATGTTACACCTCTTTGTAATTTTATCAGTAAAATTAAGATTTCTAAACCAAAATTTATATTTGGTCGACAATCTTTTCAGGATTTCACAACCTCATGCTTCTTCTTCTTCTTCTTCT